GCCTTCCCAGACCCCAGGCCTCAACATTATTGAACCCATGTGAAGCAACAACATCATCCAAAGAAGAGCTTTGAATGTGCTTTAGGACATCTCGAAAACTGTTTGTGACGACTACTTAAATAAATGAAAACAAAGCTGAGAGAGTTTTTTCTTATGTGCTGTATTGTCATGTTTTCAATAAATTGCTGCACCTATTTCCCCTATTTTCCATTTTCCTTGAAAAATATTTTTAAAAATGACAGTCGATCAAGACTTTTGCACAGTATTGTATTTATCCAGCCATGCCTTCTATCTGTTCCTAACCAAATTAACATCCTAAGTGGTTACATCCCCCAAAAAAGGAATCCTCCTGATGAAACACAAGAACACAACTCTAGTGCAGTTCCCAAGCACATTTAGTCGGCGAGGGCACTGGGTGTGAAATCTAAGCTCAGTCAAATATGAGGACCAATCTGTTGTGGTGACCTCTTGAAGAACAGGGAGCAGCCAAAGACAGCACACTTATTTGCATACTGAAGCAGAAATTAAAACAGAAAAATGCATGAATGAATCTGCAAAGAAAAGCACACTTTACATAAAGTCAGTCAATAAACGGGGTCTAAAATGATGGGAAATAGTAAAGATATAAATGTAAACATGAAAAAATAACATCAAAAAATGACCAAATAAATGAAATATGAAAACAAATCTGAACATAAATAGCAATATATGGTATATTTAGTGAATTAATGAATTCTCCTATTTGTGTTCAAAGTTAATTTTAATATTAACTTAATATTATTAGCAATCACTCATTTATTCAATGAGTGATTGCTTTCTTTCTTTATATGTTCTCTTGGCAGTTTTGATCCTTCATATCCCGGGTCACCCACACTGATTTACTTTTTGTCTCTCATGAGGAAAGTGGATTTACATATAAAGACGATGCAATTTTACCTCTTGGCCACTAGGTGTCTGTCTTTGACTTCTGATCTGTCAAACCAGATGTGCGGGGAGGATTTGACCATTCCTCTTTGGATCATCCCCAGCAACCCACGATGCATCTGTCCAACCTGAGAGCCAAGTTCAAAAACTCTGCTCATCTCAAATACTCTGATGAATGCTGATGTATTACACAAACTCAGAGAAACAAAATGTTGTACCAAAGAGTAGCAGCGATCACTGGCCAAGATGATCACGTCAATGGGTGTCGTGTGATTGGCCACACATATACCACCATTATTTGGTTTGTTTTCTCTGCAGATAAGACACATAGACACAGTACAAAATAGTGAAAATCTGCCATGTTTGTTGTTAAAAAGTCACCCGATTAAGTAACTAGGATATCTTAAATCGAGACATTACGTTAAAACTGTTTTCCTGTCAAACAACGTGATGCTGCCATGGGTTTGAATAAGGCTGATGTTTGTTTGGTTTTTTTTTACTGTACCTGTTATGATAGGTGATGATTGCCGTGAGAGAGCTTACACACATGCGATAGCCCATCATGTGAACCTTCTCACTGAGGTAGGATCTTAACCTGAAGACATACAGCATGTAGCCACAGAGTCACTTTAAATCTCTTCAGGCTGGTGCTCACAACACTGGAGACTTTAGGTGTTGTGCAAACTTACGCTGCGTTTGGTAAAAACCCCACTAAGGTGGTCAAGAATAGGAAGAGACTAATGCCAGTGACTGCAAGAGTAACCCTGCAGAAAAAAGAACAAATAGTTTCCTCAGCAGTCACCCAGCCAATCACACTTCTTTCAATGACACAAGTCATACCTGAGAGGCAGCAGGATGCCATAGCGGGTGAGAAGTCCCAGCCCCCACAGGAGTGTAAGTCTCATATTTATGTGATGGAAGTTGTAGTTGCTCCGAGTCAGCAGATTCCAGCTCTCAAGTTCCTGGGCTGAAAATCGCTTGGTCACTTCATCATCCACTATGCTCTCCACACCCCTTCGGCAAAAGTAGAAGATATCAGCCATATCAAACTCATGATCTGAGCACAGACAGCTGGCAGAACCCCGGATCTCCTGCTGCAAAGATGCTGGTGATTCTTTGGCTATGATACCTGCAGAGAGCGTGCAGAGAAAAATGAATGATTTCATTGTTTAAAACTCATACAAGTCAAATAAACATTTATGACTGACTGTCAGGTTCAGCTGTGTGAGGTGTTGTGGAGTATCCAAATACAGGATGCAGTAGATAAAAGTTCAGCTTAAACCTGAGCGTTTAAACCAATAAAAGAACAAGTAACAGTCCAGAAATAGGTGACAAAATCCACAAGGAAAAAGGACCGAGACTAAGGACCGCACAGCTAGTGGGACTACCCCACAAAGGACGAGGGGAGACGCAATTACAATAAATACACCAATAAATACACAAGGTAATTGAGGCAGACAGTGACAGGAGGGGAGCACAGCTCAAACTAATTATGGAAAACTAGACAAGTAAATTAATTACCAAAACACAGAAGACACTGGTTACCCAAATAAAACAGGAAATAACCAAACAAGGGTAAACATGACCGATGGAGATTTGACACAAAAGGGCAGAACAGTAAGGAAAGTATAATATACAAAACTATGACCAAGGACAGAACTAATGTACTGCAGGGAAAAGATACATGAATATAAAACCCAAAGAAAACCAAGAAAACCAGATTACATAAGGAAAACTAAATAGTAAAAAAAAAAACACTTCAAAATTACTGAGATAAACGTCCCAGAATCATAACACCGATCAATATATGAAAAAAAGGTTTACCATTTGTATATGTTTTGTAGAGTTGCTGATTTTTTTCTTTTGCTCTCATTTCCATTCGTAAGGTTGCCCACTAATTTAGGACAAAAAAACAAAAACAAAACAAGTATATAAAAAAAGGCTGAACAATTTACCACTGCATTCATTCTTCTGTTGACAAGCAGCTGTGAATGGACTGATTCTTATATAGGGCTTTTCTATTCTATTTGAGCTCTCAAAGGTTGTTCTTGTGGCATTAGATAAGCAGTAACAACCCTTATAGGGCTCCAAAATACCTTCAAGTTCACAGATTCAAAGAGAAAATGGAAAGCACAGACAAAAATATGATCAAAGTAATAAAACTGGGCAAGATGCTCCCTGGAGACTAAAGCTCTGCTGAGGAAAAGAATGGGAAACCAAATTTGCCTCAAAAGCCTGCAGCTAAGAAAACAAAGCATAGAAACTCGAGAAACAGTTCTGATATTGTGATCCAATTTACCTCCAATCCAACCTTTTCCCAAAAATTAAAAAAACTGTTTTATAAAAACAAAACAATTTTGAGGAACAGGATGTTTGCACCAGAGAAGACATTTACAAAAACACTATATCATCGTCACAGTATCATAATGGCATGTACTGCAAATAAAACATCACTGTACATCCAAGCAGGGTGACCATGTTGTAACCTGGTCCTCCAGCCCGTAAACAAAAAAAAAAACAAAAAACAGTTACAATCCTCGTGCATGTTCCTTAAGCTTTAATTACGATTACATTTCTCCTGAGTAGTAGAATTTATCACATGGCTAAATGCTTGCTTCTTCTTAGGGTGGAGTCACTAAGCCTTACTCCCCGAAGAAGCAGCAGCAACATCCCCTGTGCTTCTAACAGTCCCTCTGAGCCTTAAGAACAAAGGCCTCCATCCTCTTTGCGCCTTTTGTTGTTGTAATGCATTTTTCAAGTCAACATGATTAAATGTACTTTGCTAAAAACTCAAGGGTTACAATAAATGATCATTAAGTAATCCAGATTTTATAATTTAGAAAGTCTTTGAATGAAACACATATGAACTTAAAGGATTTTGATTTTGTACCTTTTTAGTGATATTAGGCACCCAAATCAAGCTCACCTCAAATATCTTGAGAAGTGTCCTCAAATACAAGCTGCGGATACTAAAACAGCCTCCGAGTACAGCTGGCACAATGATAAAGAGACACAGAAGAGTGAACCACGCAGAGATGGGGATGCTGAGACACCTGCACAGCAGGTTGTGAACAGCCCATGTAAATGGAGGCATGCTGTTATCGCACGGAGAACAACGAAGGTGTGTGCCACACTGAAACACTCAGCTTCAGGGAAAGTTGTCTGTGCTGTTTAAAGCCATGCTGTCTGAAATCAGAATGGAGTAAGTCATTAAGTCATTGGCACCATTTGGCAAACACAGCCCAAAATACCATGATAAGAGATGCAATAGCACAGTTGGGGCTCCCTTTCAGGTGACTTATCATGAAAATTAAAAAAGAAAAAACATCTGATTTTTCAAATGAACAATGACTTTTCTCTGAGAGCCTTTGTAAGCCAAAAGTTTCTTCCATCCTTTGAAGAATGGCTTAGTGGCTGCTGCTCACAGCTGTAGGCTGATTGTCTTCAAACACTGGAACATGTTTGATTGCTGTCAGAATCGATGTGTAGATGCACAGAATAATTTTAATAACAGAATCATTTGAGGTTCCCTCACTATAGTATCAGTAGAGCAGGTGACTGGCTAGAAGCTTGTACAGCTGCACAAATATGAAAAGATAATGGAAAGGTTTATCTATTTACTGTGATGACAGCAAATGCATCTTAGGATAACTAAGACGTAAATATTCAACCCCAGATTTTAGATAGGGGAGATATTATCACCCTCATCTGAGATTGGGTACCAAGCCCCAAGTGTGGCAGAGCACTGAGTGCAAGAGTAGCTAACCTGAATCTGGAAACTGGTTACAAAAGCTACGTGAGCAATACTGTCAAGGGGCCCCGAGGGCCTGTACAGAACTGAAGTCAAGTGAAAGACAGACGTGCAGAGGTGGTTCAAAGTTCTCAAATGCTTTATTTAACTAGAAACGTGTGGTGAAAGAAACACTCAATACTATACTTGACGTGAGGCTGAAGCTAGAAACGTGGCTTGACTAAACATACAACACAATACTTGGCATAATGTTCAACATGACGACAAGAGGGGTGCTACACAAGGCTTGTCAAGAATGAATGACCTAAGATTCTGTGGGACTTCCAGCAGACATAGTAGTTGTGGACATGCAGAGGAAGGTGGCCGTAGTGATAGATGTAGCTGTACCAAGTGATAACTACAGCAGGAAGAAGGAACACGAGAAGCTGGAGAAATATCAAGGGCTGAGAGAAGAACTCGAGAAGATGCGGAAAGTAGTCCATATTTGGTCCATATTTGGTCCATATTAACACGACAGCATCACACAGTTGTTGCAGATTTGTGAGCTGCACATGTACAATGTGACTCCTGTTCCATCACATCCCAAAGGTGCTCTATTGAATTGAGATCTGGTGACTGTGGAGGTCATTTGAGACATTGTCATTCAGGATGGATCTCTGCTTCCATGCTGTTTACACCAAGACTCATCATATCAGTCAACATGTTTCTAATTTTTCTGTCGTCCACTTTGGAGAACCCTGTGAAACAGCTCAATTTTCTACTCTTAGCTGCCAGGAGTCTCTCCTTATGTGGTCCTCTTCTGCTCCTTTTGGACCATTCTGTATAAATCCTAGAGACGATTATGCAGAAACTCCCCAGTAGAACAGTTAAATCGCCTTTCACCATGTGAACATACCTAAATGCACTGAGTTGCTGTGTGATTGACTGATAGATAATGAACTAAGAATTTGAGCCTGGTGCACCCTATTGTATAACTGTGAAGGGAAGGCAATGTCAAGAACAGGAAATTCATTACAAAATGAACATAAACTATTTTAACGTTTTGCCTTAAATGCTTTTATATTTTATTAACAAAAGTTATGTTGAAAAGGTAGTAGGGGAGAAGAGTCTGATCTTTCACAGGAAAAAAAGGATATGATGTTCTTATACATAATATAAATGATAAATGTTGTATCAAAACACACAAATGTGCTTGATGAATAATAGCCAGGGATATTTTAGGTGGTCATTCGCGAAGATACAAACAGGAACAATCATTTAATGTTACTTTAGCAGACTTAGCAGTGTTACTTCTTTCTTTCAATTTTTTCAAACCTGTATGTTATGAGTATTAACAAGTTTAGTTTATGTTTTGTAATCCTCGCACCTTAATTTAAATAATGAACTTTTTAGCCATTGAAGTCTAAAAGTACTAAAAGTAGTTCTTACCGGCCATTGGATTTACCGCCGCGTCAACAAGGATTGAGATGACAGGTGGTGCTCCATCTGGACAGTCCGGTCTGAAGAACAGGGATTTCTGACACTGTGCTGCCTGTGCAGCCTCTCAGCAGCATGCTGTGGCTGCAGATCACAGACAGACAGAGCTTTATAGAGTTAACATGGCAACAGGTGGCCAATGAGGGCTGCTGTCACTGCACTGTGGATTGAACGTGGTATTAATCTGATTACAGTAAATATGCCAGAAAACACTGTAGATGACATGAAGTCAGTTTCTTACAGCTTTGTAGTCCCACCTGGAAAACCAAATCAGATGACAATGTTATGAGGAGCTACTGTTATTTACATCAGTTTTATGCTTTATATTGTGACTATGTTAAATGACATTGTCCCTTTTAAATAAATAAATGAAAC